ATCTTCTTTTACACCTTGCATATCTTCTTTTACACCTTGCATATCTTTTTTTACCATTTGTAAATCCTTATACATTTCATTTTGTTTTTCTTCTATATTAGTCAATAGTGTAAATAATGCAGCCATTTGCTTCGAGTCAAATTCATGATTTTGTAGTCTCTCAAACTGCAATGAATGTGCATTTTGTCGTAGATAATCTGGTGGTTGATTTACTCGACCTTTAAGTACTCGGAAAAATGTATCATCACATGCATTCATAAATGATAATGCAAGCAACAAATGTGCATGACCATGACAATCAATATGTCGTTTATCATAAGATTCAGCAGTCTCCCATTCACCAAAATTAATTTCAATAGCTTCTATTGGCCACATTTGTTCTTCAGATGATAATTTTTTTTGTAATTCACGATGTAACATTTTACTTGCAATTATTACAGTAGCCCAAAATAAAGGCAATTGAATTAAATCTTTATTTGATAAATGCCATGGTGGCATAGGAAAAATAACAAGATCACGAATAGTTTCTTTGTTCGCCGTAAAAATAAAATGTAATTGATCAATATCAAAATTTTCATCTATTCCTTGTTCCATCGAATTATATGTTTTATCTTTCAATAATTGCATAACTAGAAATAAAAAAAAGAAAGAAAATATTTTAAATGTCGACATAACATTATTTTCGTTTCGTAATAGTCTTCATATAAAATGTAACATAAGATAGCATTACTTAATTCATGCATAAAAATAAATAAGAAAAACAAGAATGAATACTGACATAGATAGAAAGCTATTAGTGCAATCCCTGCGGGATTAAAATATGAAACATGATGCAGCTACTGTTTCTTATCCCCTAAAAACTGGTCTTTTTTATGTATATTGGGGCATATTTCTTCATCATTGTTTACATTCCAGTATAGAACTTCAACAAGGAAATACTCCATATATATTCCAATTAGATGTTAGTTACACATGATCATAGATAGTCCTTTAAAGCGGTCTGTGATGGGTCGAGACCTTGTCTGTCACGGTCTGTGGGAGAGAGGGGGATGCAAATTTCTACCCTATAACTTCAACACTCCTTTTAGATCGTGTTTCACAAAAGTTTAAATAGAGAAAAAACATGATTATCTACTTAGAGCAATCTAAAAGTAGTGGTAGTAGGACTTCAATTTCTTATAACAAGCTTAAAGAAACTTTTTCTCTAAATAGTCTGATAGAGAAATGAATGCTCTATTTTTCTAGGCTATTTGATTATACTTCAACTAATATAATAATAATAAAATTTCGATAAGATCTGTGTCGTTATCTTATGTGCTAGTTATAATAATTGTCATTTTAAAAAATACGAATGAATATTTTTCAAATAACTTTTGACAAAAACAAAATACAGAACTGGTTGTCACCATTGGAAAGAGAAGATGAAGACACATCGACTCGTATATTCCAGGATTTCCTGATCTATTTTTTGTAAGATTTTCAATCGATCTTTTTTAAAAACAAACATATACAGTTAGTTGTTTGCAGTGAGTTTTCAATTATCAAATGTAAATTCAAACCACTACTCGAAGATCTACAAAGTACGGAAGGTTGAGATGAATAATATCAAATTGCAGTCGAGCCTCTAATACGATTTTCTAGCAAAGTCAGCGAAAAAAGCTCACTTTTTGTGCTTTTTCTTTTTTTTTCATAAAAAAAAACATTTTTGCCACGCTTAGAAAATTGAATAAAAATAGTTCAGAAATCAATATTAGAAAAGCCTATAATATACGATTCGATGCATCTTCATCTCCTCTTTCCAACAGTGAAGATCGCATTTCTCTATAATATTTCCATCAAAATTTATTCAAAAAACACTCACTAGCAATCATGTAAGCATGACACATGCGAACAAAACAGATTCTAACAAAATTTTATTATTATGATATCAGTTGAAGTATGATCAAATAGCATAGAAAAATAGAGCACTCTTTTCTCTATCAGACTATGCAGAGAAAAAGTTTCTTTAAGCTTGTTATAAGGAATAGAAGTACTACTACCACTTCTGTTGGATTACTCTAAGTATTAATGTTCTTTTGTTTTCTACAAAATAAAACTATTTTTTCAGATAGTGTTTATGTTTATTAATGTACTTAACACAAGACTCTTCTTATACTTTAAGTTCGATATTAGTTTTTCAAGTATCATTTAAAATCAAATAAATCAAAAAACAAAAAAATACTTATATCAAGTTTTTTTTCTTTCAAATGAAACATAATCGATTTATTTTGCTCTCTATTAATTAACACATACTTGGTTTCACAGGCCATTCCATCACAATATATTCATTCATCAGGTATTGACCACATTCACGATCGCCATCATTTCGTTGCCCCTTTGCTATAGCTTTGCATATAATGTTCGCATGTCTTGCATGATCAGGATAATAATTTTTGTTTTTGCATGTTAATTGGTTTCCACAGTAATCAGGAGCTATGATTGGTTTATGTAATGGCGAATGAAGCGTCTCTTCAGCAACAAACGAACGATATTTTTGAATGTACGAACGTGCCTAAATATAAAAGGATTAAGTTATTCATACAAAAAAAAAAATTATTATATAAATCAGATTAATATTAGATAACTTTAGTTTGCAATAAATTTTCTTTTTTTATTCTTATTTAATCAAATCAATTATTTGAATTTAAGGACAAAAAAATTAATAAAACTAAGGACAGTTTATCGCTAAATTTCTTAATTAGAGTTTATAGGAATCTAAACTTATAATGAAATTGACAAGAAAATGATAATCCTACTTTCGCAAGACATTCACGTTGATTTTCTTCATTATTATCACATTGATGCCATTGTAAATCAAACCAATTAACTGGATCAACGTTCATTCTTAACTGCCATAAATTATTTTCAATATGTTTATTAAAAAATGATGCAGGACGAAGTTCAAGACGAAACTTATTATTAAATGGAACACCTGTATCCTCCGCCAATTTCATAATTTTTTCAAGCATAGCAGTTGATTGACATGCTAAACGAGTAGCCATGTTATTAACATCTACTTTTTCATTTGTAATATCAAATAATGGTTCTTCAGCCGCAATCAATACTGGCTCATCAATTAGAAAATCTATATTTGGATGAATATTGAATGCTATTGATATAGATGATGAAGATAATTTCATTAGATTATCGATGATCTCCTAAAAAAAGCGTTTAGAAGTTAAAAGCAAAATATCAGTGCCTTATTTATTTTAACGTGCTTCTTTAACAATATTCTATTTGCTGGTAACTGGGGATCTGCAACATGATCTCGCTCTCGATCCCGTTGGGACCAGAGCATGGACCGGAACTAAACTATCTTCAAGCTGGTCCCAGTCAGTTTTTATAAAAAATATACTATAGATTTTAATTTGTTTTTTATTCGATTACAAACGTTTAATCAGTTATGTTTATTTACTATTCCGATAAGTCTCTACTGATTACTAGACTGTTTCTAAGAATCGAAATTTCCCAATTGTATAGGTTTTTTGAATATATATATATATATAGTAACATTATATTCGTAAATTTAGTTCGTTCATTGTTAGGCCATTTCTTTATTTCTTATCTCAACAAATAACAAATAGTTATATGTCACTGTTTATTTCTTTTTGTCCTTGTCCATGGCAATTGCCCTTTACAGTCCACTTGTGCTGTTAACGAGTCAAAGCCGTTCATGTCAATTTTATATGTATTCGTAAAAATATATAGATTGTAAAAACATTCACTCGATTTTAGAAACAATGTCATTTTTAAGAACCGGAACCAGGACTGAGTCTAAAAAAAAAGTCATTTTTCAGATCCCTACTTAAAATCGAAACTATCCTTTTTTTTAAATTTTATTATATTAAAATCTATTAATTCATTTTGTTTTTTGTGAAATAAGTCATATTACTTTGTTAAGAATAATTAGTCAAACCTATTGTCGACTTTCTAATCTCTTTTACAACATATGAAATATACAACATGAAGAAATAAAGAATGTTTAAAATCCTAAATTTTAAAACTATGAAAATGAATTTTATCTAAGAATCGTACAATATATATATGCTATGGTTAAAGAAAAAAGTAGATAATGATTGCTTTGTGTTTTTTTCGTTTTTACCTGCTGAACTGCCTCCATTTTTTTCTAAAATTCTTTTGCTTCTTTATCGAATTTATACCATGAATATTGATTATTTCTATTGTCTGTTGATGGTGACCATTCACTATGAGCTGAATGTTGTTGTTCATTACTTTTTCCACAATTATGACGAGGATTTTGAGACATTTGTGTATCTAGAAATAAATCAATATGTGAAAATGATAATGTTGATTCAAAGAAAACTTTATGTGTTTTTTCGATTTCATTTAAAAAACAAACAATCTAAAGATAATTTCGATATTGTTTTATTCATTCAAATTTTAATCCAAAAAAAACAAAAAAAAAGAAAATATATCTATCGACTAACTACCATTGTCTTCTCTTTTTTTTTTATCGTAGTCATTAGTTCTTTTTTCTAACGGGATATTGTCATTTGGTGATAATGATGAAGATTTGTTATCAATAACATATGTTTTAACGAAATCATATACTAATAATAATCTACCATATAATAATGAAAATTTAATTAATATATATCCAATACCTTTGTATAAAACTATACTTTCTTCCATCTCTTCAATTTATATTAAACAAAATCAAAAACTATATCATACATAGATAAATTAATAGACAATACTCCAACATTGATATCTATATTATCAATAATAGTACAAATAATTTGTACATAAAGACAATGTAGAATTATTTCAATAGAATAAAATAATAATTGACCAAAAACAAAAAACAAAAACATGCATCAATACACAAAATTCATGATGTCATAGGTTCTTTCAAACAAAGAAAAATATTTTTTTCTATTTCATAATCATCATTCATTAATAGCTATAAAAGAAAAACAGATATTAAATTTTAAAAAAATTCTTCTGTTCAATTAACCTGAGCAATACGTCATGGTTTTCTTTTTCAATAACGATAAGATAGTTGAAATGCATTTAATATTATTAATATAATCTTATATAAAAATTTTTCACATATATAACATTTTATTATGAGTATCATCATTGATTGATGATGAATAAAGAATAAAAACACATAAGTGTATCTTCATTTATTGTCAAATAAATTTCGATTACATACACTTATACAATTGTAATGATTCAATAAAGATTATATAATAAATTAGCAAGACTATTAAATAAGCAGATCTAAAAAAAATCGAATAAATCAAACAAAAAATTTTTAATTAAAATAATAATGAACATTCTATTCAACAATTAAATAAACCTACTACCTACTACTCAAAAAGTTCCTATCTATAATTATGTTTATTTTAATAAATTAAATCTAGAATTTAGAAAATAAATAAATCAATCTTTGGTTTGATATATAAAACAAACGTTGAAATAATAAATATCTTCAATCTATTCAATTTGTATCAAAAGTTCTATGATTGGTTAAAAATAAGATGATTTATTTAAATACATAAGTCCATCGGCGGGCCGCCAGCTGGCAATTGGTGGCAATTGACACGCCTAAAAATATTATTAGTGGTTCAGTTAAATCTAAAATACACTTTCCTATAACCATTGGTGAGTCACCATATAGTAGAGTCCTGCGGGACAAACTTTTCTTCTGTCGTATCCCCAAATTTTTATAAGCGTGCCGATACTCAGGGCTCACTCCGAATCGTTTTTTTTTGAAAAATCCCGACCCTGAATATCCTGTGCGCAGTTTTGTCTAAATGTCCCGAAAAATCCTGTCTGTCCCGGTATCCAAAACAAATATAAATATATGGTTGCGTGAGTAACCGGTCGTTTAGACGCGGATAAAATTAATAACTTCTTATTCATTAAACCTAATATGTAAAATACTAAAAGAAATATATCATTCGGGTCACGAAACAGACAGAAACAGAGAAAATAGTGACATTTCAAACAATCTATCTTCAGCATCACCACATACAAAAATTAAGTTATCAAATAAGGCGAAAATGATGAAAATGATCAGAATAAAGAATTTTAAAACATTTATAAATTTTTACCTGTTTTTCTCGTTTTTCATATGCGAAAAATTATTTATTCGCAATAAAAGAAATATAATTTGTAATTGTAGGACATGTTGCAGATAAAGATTAATGAAGTTCGGGACAGCTTCTTTTTACCTCCTGATTCCGATTGCTGCGTGCAAAATTTCTTTTCGAAAGTCTCGATCTCGGCTGTCCTGTGCAGAAAATTTTCGAAACAATTCCACTTGTGCCGCGGAACAGGAGAAACGCGGTTTTTCGGGATTTAGTTCTATTTCGCAAGACTCTACCATATAGCAATTGGTGATAATTGCCACACCTCGATTAAAGATGCTGGCCCGCTGCTGCATAAGTCCTCTATAATAATATGTTCTTAGGCCCAGACAGACCAAAAATTCATAGAATTAAATTTTGTTTTAAGGAGCCAAACACACTACACAAAGTGATTCAACTTTAAGTTAAATCACTTTGTGTAGTGTGAACATAGCCTAAGGCCCCGAACAGACCGACTAATTCAAAGTGAATTAAAAGTGAATTAAGAGATATGATTGGTGTTGCTAAGTAGAAACACCAATCATATCTCTTAATTCCGTTTTAATTCACTTTGAATTAGTCGGTCTGTTCGGGGCCTAAGTCAGTAGCCGTCCACACTGAAACATTAAATCACACATAAGAATATAAGGCAAGCCTCTTTCATGAATGCAAAGTATATAGTAGAAAATGTCAATGCATTGGCAGGTGTCGCTATTGTATATGCTGTACTTAATAAGAGTTTATCTTCAACAACTTCGTTACAAACTCAATATTTGTTGAATGAGTAAAAATGAGAAGTCAATCGGGTTTTTTAAGAGAGCTTCCATGAGCCCATCGAGTATCATTCCAATATACGAGGCACTCGATAAAAATTTTTTTTTTCGATTTTTTTTTGCTCATTCAACACATCAATGTCTAAAACCACTAACCCCAAAATTTTAAGTTCTGATACCTTGAGGGTGTGGGTGTGGGTGTGGGTGTGTGTAGTTCGATTTACCCAGACCCCACGTCCACACCACCGACACTCACACCCACCCACACCCACATCAACACCCGCACCCACCCACACCCACGCCCTGAATTATGAAAAAGCAACATTCGTATCACCGCGAATGGGTTAATATATAAATACTATATATGAAGCCCAATTCCTCGAAACAAAAAACAATTTCGTCTTTCTTTTCATCGTCTGCAACAAAAAAACAAAAGATAGATATGATCAAATACCAAAACATAGCGTTTTAACTTGATTCTGATATTATGCTTGATAGTTTATCGACATTGATTCTCGGCACATATAAATTGGTGAGTGACTACAAAAAGCTAGACAGTCTAGGGCTGAGCACAACCACCACCCTTAAATTTCTGGTTAGGCCGCTACATGAAACCTCAATTTAAACTTACGCTCACTTTTATTCTCTTCGAAAATATACGTGAATTTCACAGAAGCGCTTGAATTTCAAGAATAAACACTGGTGATAAGTGAGAAATGTAATTATAACGATATGACTGAACTTTCATTGTCATGTTAAATGAATTATTTTTTAAAGATCAAGAAATTGTTTTAGCAAAAAAAAAATATTTATAAAAA